TTTTAACGGAATAGGGTCGGGTTTAAAAAATAGGAGAATGGATACTCCGAAATTCCGGATCAAGCTACAGACCAGGCTAGGCACGCTCTGTAGCGAGCTATAGACCAGGCTAGGCACGCTCAGTAGCGAGCTATAGACCAGGCGAGGCACGCTCTGTAGCGAGCTATAGACCAGGCTAGGCACGCTCAGTAGCGAGCTATAGACCAGGCGAGGCACGCTCTGTAGCGAGCTATAGACCAGGCAAGGCACGCTCTGTAGCGAGCTATAGACTAGGCTAGGCAAGGGATATATCACGGTCTAGCGCGCTACAGACCTGGCTAGGCGAGGGATATAGCACGGTCCAGTGTGCTACAAGCTATGCGACGTGAGAGTGAAAAATTTCAACTCCCCATCACACTGTTCAATAGAAAAACTCCGAAAATATAATACATTAGCCTACCTTGGCACCACGAAACCTTAAATTACTTAGCGAAATTTTTTTTGGTTCCTTACAGTCCCCGTCCTCCACTCGAAAATCACGAGTAAGGTAAACATCTCAAAAACTAAACCATCCTACTAACTCAACCTCGTGGAACCCAAACCACAACACGTAACAACTTCCCTTACCTGTAGAGCACCCAAATCACAAGTCCGGCCAAACCATCCAGATATCACATCAAATCCTATCGTATTTAACTAACAGATTGTCAACCCAAGTCTCATGACTTACAATAGCAACCAAACTAGAACGATAGACACGAGCTATCCTAATAAAATTCTCAAATGTCGTGAACACATGAACAGAGTACAAGAATCATAAAAAAACACAACCATAACTGAAGCAAGGTAGGAAGAATCTTACCAATAAATGGGACCGAATCGAAGTAACACAAATGCATATCTATAGTCAACTGAAACCATACCTGGGCATCATCTGGTGCATCAGCCTCCTCCCAACCAGAAAAAGCATAACAATGGGCCCGGCCTCCCTCTCTAGGATGACCTCTACCAGCCTGACCTCCCACTAGCTAGCGGTACAGGTATAATAACAACTGGAGCAAAACTCATAGACTGAATACCCCGATGTGACACAACTGTCTGGAGTCTGGGACAATCTCTCACTATCTGGCTGGTATCTCCACACTCAAAGAAACCTCTCTGCTTACGTGGCTGTGGAAGTTGTTAGGTATGGGTACTCGAAAACCCATGGATATCTAAGACACCGCACGAAGCCTGAAGTGCAAACTGAACTGGCTGATGCACAAAACCTCTACCATGACATACCCTGCCTCCAAAATAGGGACCAGTATATCCTCCCAATCTATGAGGCCTCTTAGCCTCCCTGACCTTTGTAAAAACCAAAGCGGGTGCATGTATGGACAAATCATTGAATCTAACGGCATACTCTAACACTGACATAGTACCCTAGCGCAGCTGCTCAAACTCCGTGTGCCATACATCCCGAAGGGCCTAGGGAACAAACTCTCTCAAGAAAATCTCTAAACACTCAGTCCATGAAGGTCAAGTTGCATTGTCTGGGTGACCCTCCTCATAAACCCGCCACCAATGATATGCTTCTCCTGACAGTTGGAATATAGTAAAAGCAATCACACTAGCCTCCACAATACCCATGGTGCGGAGAATACGGTAGCGCTCTTCTACAAAACCATGTGCATCCTCTAAAGCCAAACCACTTAAAGTAGGAGGGTGATACTTCTTGAACCTCGTAAGTCTAAGCTCTAAGTTGCTCCTCCTCATATGTTGTTGTCCTAACTGCGGGTTGAACCGGAACAATAGGTTGTGCTAGCATGGCAGCTGGACCCTGACCAACGTGGACTCGCTGCTCTGGAGTACGGGAGGGGGGAGTCTGAGCTCCTCCGCTAGTCTGTGAAGTAACTGGTATAACAGGACACAATTCCACCTGAGCCAATGTACCAAATATGCTCAAGTACTGCACTAAAGTTTCCCAAAGTTCCGGGGTATCAACAGGCGCCTCAGGTGCCTATCTTCCAATCTGAGCTACTGGTGGCTCCTCGGTTGTTGCTTTTGCAGGTGCTCCAATTGTAGCACGTGCTCCTCCTTGGCCTCTGCCTCTGCCCTGCCCCCTAGTAACACCGGCTATGGAGGCTACATCATCAGTAACTGAATCTCATGTTCTCACCATCTGTGAGAGAATCAAATGACAAAAGCTCAAACTCCAAAATCAATAAACTCGCACGATAGGAATGAAAGAAGTGAAGTTTTCCTAATAGTTTCGTAGCCTCTCGAAGATAAGTGCAGACGTCTCCGTACCGATCCGCAAGACTCTACTAAACTCGTTTATGACTCGAAGCACCTATCAACCTAGAGCTCTGATACCAACTTGTCAAGGCCCGAATTTTCCTCCGTAGGATGTCGTGATGGCACCTAGTCTCTAAGGCTAGGTAAGCCTAACACTTACTGAACTAAATGACAGAATTTAACCCAAACAACTATTGAACATAAACCATAATCATCTATAATAAGCCAACAACCTTGAGTACAATACGATATCCCAAAATCGATAGTACAAGTCATAAGCTCTACCGAGTTCACTAGGAAATTTCTAAGTACAACTATTCCGGAATAGAAATAGACTGTACAAAGTAAAATATAAGAAGGTGACTCCAAGGCCTGCGAATGCGGTAGCAGGTATACCTTGAGTCTCCATAGCAATGTCCGATCAACTAGATAATGATCCACAAACTCTAAAATACTTAGATCTACACAAAAATGTGCAGAAAGTGTAGCATTAGTACACCACAATGGTACCAGTAAGTATCAAGACTAACCTCAGTGGAGTAGTGATGAGGAACAATCAAGACACCTACTAGACATAACAACATGTACGAGTATAAATGTGAAACTAACAAGGAACAATACCAAGATAAAGCTAAGAATGGTAAACGACAATAATACTTGCAATAGAAAACTAGAAGCAATAATCATCAACAAGGAACAAACTGGTAATAATACCGTAGGGTAAGCTGAATACAGTTTAAGTCCGGTGGAACCAAGTAAGGAAAAACAAGTAACGACTCAATAAGAACAACCGCTTTCATGCAAGATCTATTCAAGAATTTCCCCGAGGTACCAAACCTCATAATTTCAATTCATGGGTCCAAATTCATGAACTCTAATCACTTGGCATCTTATGCCCACATTACAATTCACAATCGCACGGACAACTCACGTGCCAATATCATTAATACCTCATATCTGCACGGACAACTCGCGTGTTAAGGGAGTGACAATATCTCATGTCCGCACGTACAACTCACGTGCCAACAATAACAATGACTCATAATCACACGGATAACTCACGTGCCAACAATAACAATAACTCATGACTGCACGAACGAGTCACATGCCAATAGTATAACTCTCACACAGAAGGCAAGTAAACGATAATACATGTAAATGGTCAATAAACATCAAGATTCATCTTCTAAATCGATATGAATGATTAATTACGTGTATGTGATGTTTGGCTTAATGTATGCATATTTGATGTGTATTGCTTCACATTGTGCTCATGTCTCGTAGATTTGAGATGTATAATATAATGATTTGTACTAAGTTGTGGTATTTCTATGTGTAGGAATCATTCAGATGCGATTTGGGACGAAAAAGCAAAAGTGCATATTTGAGGGCCACAGGCAGCGTGGGGCGCTGCCTGTGGCACACTTTACAGAAGATAGGGAAGCTGAGCACCAGGGCCAGCGCCCCATACTGCCCTGGGTGCCCAAAATGCAAACATGTCCTAATTCGACTAGGACTTGGTTATTTCGACCCCAAGATGCCCCCAACTCATATAAAAGCCAACCTAAACCTATTTTTTTTGGGGGGGGGGATAAGACATGACTTAGAGAGAAAAACAAAAGGACGAAACACTTGGGAGCACGGATTTGATCAATTCTTCCATTCTTCATATAGTATTCATTGATTTTATATTTGAAAACATTATTTTTGATGATTGTATAAACATGAGTTGCTAAGAACCCTATTGTTCTGGGGTCATGGGTGCTACATGGATGTTGATATTTGAAGTTTAATTTGACGAGTTTGAGTTTATCATATTGGGTTGTTTATTTAATTCTGTGTTTAATCATTTTGCTGAGTAGCTAATAGTGAAATACTATCTATGAATCTAGAGTTGAACTCGAAAGTGGAAATTCTAGATTGCATATAGAATTAAATAGATCAAGTTCTTGAACCTGGGCATCGGGGAACAGATTCGTGGTTAGGATAGATATATACCTAATTGCCTTGCTTGGTTGAAATACAGGAATTGTAAATGCATTCTTGTTAATCTTAATTCCATAGACATAGGCATTAAGTTAGCCTGGATAGGCGAGTCAGAACTCGATAGAGTCTTATGAGTAATACCAACCCTGTCAATCAACAATCTAGATAAATCAATTAGTCAATTTAAGCCAAGAACGCAATATGATTGTTAGCTAGCCTATTACCCTGGAATATCCTCTCTTACTGATTGTAAACCGAAATTGCTTAAGTGTTGTGGTTGATTTCTAGTTATTTCATTGCTTGATAGTTTCTTAGGTAGTAAAATAGTCAACTCCATATTTTGTGATAAATCTCTTGAATCGATAAGTTGTTTGAGTTTGAATCAGTCAAAAGTTACTCATAAGTCTTCGTGGAAACCATACTCTACTCACTACTCTATTACTTGACGACCGCGTATACTTGCGTGTGCGTTTGGCCTCAACATGTTTTTGACGTCGTTGCCGAGGACTTAGAAATTAGCTACTTGACTGAGTTAAGCTCTTATTAGTTTATTTTTTCAAATTTTAATTTTTAGTTTGCCTTGTTTGTGTTAACGCATGCTCTTCTCTTGAATGCGGAGGAGTAGAAGCGCAAACAACCTCCTTCCTCTGGATCATGAAATTGAATGAACACTTCACAGATTGAGGAGGGAAGTTGAAGCTAGAACTAGAATAGAAAGAGAGTTGGACATCGTAGTTCAACCACAGCCAATAGAGATGGCGGGTAATGAAGAGCGTCCGGTGATGGAAACCGCAAGGCCCAATCTTGCTAATATGACTCGGGCTATTGTGAAGAATGATATCACGGGGCATTTTGAACTCAAACAGTACATAGTGTAGCTGATTCAGTCCACGGGACAATATGTCGGTATATCTCATGAAGACCCCCAGAGGCACATTCAGAATTTCCTGGAAATTACGGACACTTACAATTATCCGAATGTTTCCAATGATTATCCGAACTTTTCACTACTGGGGGAAGCTAAGAAATGGTTGCAAAAGGAGCCCGCGAACTCAATTCATACTTGGGATGATCTAGCAAGGAAATTCTTAATCAAATTTTTCCCCACTAAGAAGCAAAAGTCGCTGAGGAGCCAGATTCTTGGGTTCCAACAACGGGATGGCGAAACACTTCATCAAGCTTGGGAAAGATACAAGAAGCTACTCAAAGACTGCCCGCATCATTGTCAGGCTGATGAGGTATTGAGTCATACTTTTGTTGATGGGCTAGACGAGACATCAAAGATGAATCTTGACTCAACTTGTGGGGGTAGTTGCATGGCGAGGCCGTATAGTGAAATCCAGCTCCTGCTAAACAACTTCACTGCTAATGATCATAATTGGCAAGGAGATGGGGAATCACGAAGAGCCATTAAACAGAAAGCAGCCGGTATGATTGAGCTTGATGACTTCTCAGCCATGAGAGCAGATATAGCAAAATTGGCAAATTAGATGAATAGAATGACAATGCACCAAACACAACAGATGTAAAATGTACAACAGATGTCTACTTGCTGTGAATTATGTGGTGATAGTCACACGAGTGACATATGCCCCACGAATCCGGGATCGATCTACTATGTGGGGAAACGGAGCAGAGGTCCGATGAATCAAAATGCACAATATGGAAACACTTACAATCCAAATTGGAAGAATCATCCTAACTTCTCCTGGGGTGGAAATCAGCCAACTCAGAATCATTATAGGCCGCAAGGAAAATTCAATCAACCTCAGATGCCACCCCCAACAAATAGAAGAGAGAACGAATGACTTATTGAAGAAGTTGTTGCTTGACAATCAACAACTCAGAATCGATTTCAGAAATCTTGAGAGGCAAATGGGGCAGTTAGCATCAAATCAAAATACTAGGCCTGCAAGTGCTCTTCCTAGTGATACAGAGAAAAACCCTCAAGTTAATGCAGTTACACTCAGAAACGGGAGGGAATTAGAAAAGGTGCCAAAGAAGAGAAAGGATAATCATGTACCTGAGGGGGAGTTGATTCCTAAAGCAACATATAAGTCAAAGAAAGTTGATGCAAGTTCAGAGCCAGTGAAGGCTGCAAGGCCACCACCACCTTTCCCCCAAAGATTGCAGAAGAAGAATTATTATTGCATGTTCAATAAATTTCTCTCTACATTGAGCCAGGTTCAATTGAATATTCCTTTGGTAGATGTACTTCGCGAAATTCCAAAGTATGCTAAGTACATAAAAGATATAGTGGCTCACAAGAGGAGATTGACTGAATTCGAGACAGTCGCACTTACTGAGAAGTGCACTTCAAGGGTCCAAAACAAGCTTCCTCAAAAGCTTAAGGATCCTGGCAGCTTCACTATCCATGTGCGAATTGGTAATATCAATATGGGTCGTGCTCTTTGTGATTTGGGGGCAAGCATAAATCTGATTCCCTTGTCCTTGTTCAAGCAATTGGGTTTGGGAGCTCCAATACCAACCACTGTGATATTGCAGCTAACTGATAGGTCCATAGCCTACCCTAAAGGAGTGATTGAAGATGTGTTGCTGCAAATTGGGAAATTCATCTTCCCAGCTAACTTCATTATCCTAGATTATGAGGCTGATGAACAAGTTTCGATCATATTGGGATGACCTCTCTTGGCTACAGGTGATGCGATTATTAAAGTGAGAGAGGGAAAAATGATTCTGAGGGTGGACAATGAGGAAGCAGTCTTTAACATCTACAAGGCAATCCAACTTCCCCACCATTATGAGGAGCTCTCTATGATATCTGTTGTGGAGGTGGATGAGCAACTTCTTGACACGAGTGTATATCTAGACGATTCTCTAGAGAAAGCAGTCATGTTGTTTGATAGCTTGGAGATTGATGATGAGGTTGAGTAGGTGAAGCATATCCTAGATGCATCCTTTGAGTAGGTAAACCCCTTTAAGCCCCTAAATAGGCCGAGTGGGCCTCCTCCAAAGACGTCGATTGAAGAAGCTCCAAAATTGGAGCTTAAACCCCTGCCCCTCACCTTCAATATGCTTATTTGGGTGCTTCTGACACTTTACCTGTCATTGTTTCTTCTGACTTGTCTAAATTACAGGAAGAAAAGCTGTTGAGAGTGCTACATGAGCTCAAGCGAGCAATTGGGTGGACGATGTCTGACATTAGAGGCATTAGTCTAATTTTTTACATGCATAAAATTCTCATTGAGGACAGACACAAGCCAAGTGTAGAGCAACAATGCCACCTAAATCCAATCATGAAAGAGGTGGTAAGAAATGAAGTGATTAAGTGGTTGGATACAGGTATTGTATTTCCAATCTCTAATAGCAAATAGGTAAGTCCCGTCCAGTGTGTGCCTAAGAAAGGGAGGATGATTGTAGTGGTTAATGAAAATAATGACTTGATTCTCACAAGAACTGTAACTAGGTGGAGAATTTGCATAGATTATAGAAAATTGAATAATGCCACCCGAAAGGACTACTTTCCCCTCCTCTTTATTGACCAAATGCTTGATAGATTAGCTGGCCAGGAATACTATTGTTTCCTAGATGGCTATTCGGGGTATAATCAGATTGTTAAAGCCCGAGAAGACCAAGAGAAAACTACATTTACGTGTCCTTATGGCACGTATGCGTTTAAGAGAATGCCTTTTGGTCTCTGTAATGCACCTGCTACTTTTCAAAGGTATATGATTGCTATTTTTACTGACATGGTTGAAAGATTTGTAGAAGTGTTCATGGATGATTTTTCTGTATTTGGGTGCTCTTTTGATAATTGTTTAATGAACCTTGATAAAGTGCTTGCTAGGTGTGAAGATACAAACTTGGTACTAAACTGGGAAAAGTGCAATTTCATGCTACGTGAAGGTATAGTCTTGGGGCACAAAGTGTCCAAAAATGGTTTGCAGGTGGACAAAGCAAAGGTGGAATAGATTGAAAAATTGCCCCCACCGACATCCGACAAAGGCATTCGCAGTTTCTTGGGCCATGCAGGTTTTTATCATTGTTTCATTAAATATTTTTCAAAAATTTCTTATCCTTTGTGCAAGCTTCTTGAGAAAGATATCCCCTTCAAGTTTGATGATGCCTGTCTGAAAGCATTTGAGGAGCTGAAGGAAGGTTGGTGACTGCACCAATTATCATTTCCCTGGATTGGGCGCAGCCATTTGAGTTGATGTACGATGCGAGTGACATAGCAATCGGAGTTGTTTTGGGGAAAAGGAGGGATAAAATCTTTCACTCCATTTATTACGCGAGCAAAAACTCTGAATCCAGCACAGATAAATTACATTGTTACTAAAAAAGAGTTGCTTGCAGTGGTGTGGGCGTTTGACAAGTTCTAATCTTATCTAGTGGGAACCAAAGTCATCGTCTACACATATCATTCAGCTATCAGATATTTGTTTGAAAAGAAAGATGCCAAGCCAAGGCTGATTCATTGGGTCCTCCTCTTACAAGAATTTGACTTGGGGATCCGAGATCGAAAAGGAACAGAGAATCAAGTGGCTGATCATTTGTCCAGATTAGAAAATCGGAACCNGGTATGCAGATTATGTGAATTTTATTGCAAGCGGGGTGACGCCGCCAGAATTGACACCTGATAAAAGAAGGTTTCTACATGATGTGAGGCTCTACATGTGGGATGAGCCATTCTTATATAAGTAGTGTGCAGATCAGTTGGTACGAAGGTGTGTCCCTGAGGAGGAGATGAACGCAATATTGCATGACTGTCATGCTTCTCCATATGGAGGCCACCATGGTGGGACAGAACTGCCCAAAAAGTGTTACAATTGGATTTCTATTGGCCAAAATTGTTTAAGGATGCACACGCCTTTGTTAAAAAGTGTGACAGGTGACAAAGAACCGGAACAATCATGAAGAAGCACGAGATGCCTTTGCAAAATATTCTGGCAGTAGAGCTCTTGGATATTTGGGGGATTGATTTCATGGGACCATTCCCATACTCTAATGGTCACCAAGCCAGCACCCCATGTTGTCTGGGGCGCACTTTCTAGTATGTCAAAAATCCCCAGTGCCAGCCCTAGCGTGGGGCGCTAGGCTGGGGGGGTCAGGTAAGGTGTAAAAAAAAATTATTTTGTATTTTCGTTAGTTGTTTTAAATTTTTTTAGACCCAGCACCCACCAACACGACCCAACTACCCATATCTTCTCACACACTAACCCATACCCAATTACCCAAACCCATCCCCCACCTAAATTAAAATAACAAACACCCAAAACCCCTCTCTCTATCTCCCGTAACTCTCAAACGACCCCCCCTCCCCACTCCGCTGCTCTCTCTTCCTTTCCCTCTTAAATTCTTCAACCTTTCTTGCTCACTTTCATCTCAAGACTCAAAGGTATGTTCTTCTTGTTCTCTCTTTTCTTGTATTTTGAAATTTCTTAGTGTAATTTTAGTCTTCTATCTCAAACAACCCCCAAAATCCCATAGGTCTCTTTGACATATCTTGTTGTTATGGTGGTCTTAATATGCACGAATTTGGTTTCAAAAATTGGTTGTGAAAGTGTATTTGAAGCAGTAAACTATAATTTCCTCTACATCATGTAAATTTGGGAGGGCCATCTTGCTCCACCATTGTTGAAATAAGAGAAGCAAAATTGATGCCCACAAGATGTTTGCTAAAATGCCTCAAAGAGTAAATTGAACATCAGTGAATTCTGAGTAGCCGAGTGTAGTAGTATATGATGTTGGGCGAAGTGTGGGGTGTTTGAGGGGTATTGTATCTTGTTTTAAACTCTTGTGAGTTGTAGTTAGTGTACTATATTAGTGTAGTAATGCGAACATTAGCATTGCTTTCTTGCACCACAGTTAAGTTACGGCCATGTTAAACTACTTGAATTGTATGGTATGGGGAAGTCTTGAGTACCTATAGCCTTGTGATGACACACCGGTGCATGTCGAACCAATATTGTGAGTCGATTATACATAGCCTTTGGTTTTAAGTGTGGAGTCATCTTTTCCTCTCACGATGACCTTAGGAGAATTCTTGATTCATTCTCATCTTTATGTTTATCGTGTGTAGGTTGCTATGGCTCGTGACATTACCGCAAAAGGAAAAGGGGTGGGGAAGTCCTCAACTACTGCTCCCCCTCCCAAAAAACGCAAGCAAGGTGAGGGTTCTTCCCGGCAAGCTAAGGGAAAGCAAGTAGCTAGCAGGTCGACGAGACCACCACGGCCTCGGGTAGAACTAGTTCGATATGATGCCATCAAATGGCATGATAATTTTGTTCCATATGGGAGATATATCTCCAAAATGGGGATTAATGTACATGCCCTAGAAAGCAACCTCCCGGATATACTTGCCCGGTTGATAGAAATGAAGATAGATAAGCTCATGGAATGTCCGGGCCCTGCAAATCTAAGCATGGTACGAGAGCTATATGCCAACTGGAACGAGGGCTTGTTCCAGTCATGCGTAAGAGGAAAGGATATACCAATGGATAGGCGATCCTTGTGTAACTTCTTGGGAGTTAATAGTCCTAATCCATGGAGGCTACATAAGTTCATCAAAATTCCACGCTACCAGGCAATATGTCATAGGCTTTGTGGCATTGATTCTAATGCGAGGTGGACGCAGACTAAGGGAAATGCCCACCTTGAGATGCTCCGGTTCGACTTCAACAAGACGGCTAAGGTATGGCAAAACTTTGTGCAGGGTAGATTAATGCCCATTGAGCATAACAGCAAATGCATTCGAGATCGAGCGTATGTGATCTACTTTCTGATGACCGGGCGACCTATAAATGTGTGTGAGCTGATGCTTGGGGAGATGGCTCGCACCCGCTTTGGAGGGAGGATAAAAAGGTTAAACTCTGGAAATATCCTGATGCAGTACATGCTATCCCGTGGGGTACCAGAGTACCCTGGCTATGATGAGGTAGTGGAGGCACCCAAGGCATTTCTAGACATCACATCCTTGCTAGAGTCCACATCAAAGCTTACCCAGGCTGCAAGGAATGAGAGGGACAAAAATTTCAATAGGTATCTTTATAGTTCCCTCAATGTTATAATGAGCAGGCTAGGGGTGTCATATGAGGAGCACATGCACCGGGCAGTCCCATTCATCCATCTGAGGATGAAAACACTTACAAGGGATCTGAGGATGAAAACACTTACAAGGGATCTGATGATGAGGATGCGGATGATGTTAAAGTTACGGGGTCCATGGTTTTGGTACTCTTAGAAGATGATGATGAGCCCAGAACCGCAGCTGGTGGGCATCCTGAAGAGGAGGACTACGACTAGCAGGGAGTTCTTTCTTTCCACCTTACTCTATTTTGTATTTGTTATGTATCATGGACTATGCATTGTTTCAGTGTGGGGTGGGGGAATACTTCTTGACTTGTAATTCTATCAATTTTTTTGTTCTTTTTACTTTTTAGCTTAGTTTAGAACTAACATATTCTAATTAGCTAGTAAAAAGAAAATAATCAGAAAAAGCTCTGACTTTTCCCGACGATGGATCTGTTGGACAATTTTTTTGAGGGATTACAGTCCGATTTAAAATACCAATTTTTTTTTTTTTTAGGATAGTTAGGTAGTATCTCTTGGTTTTTCTTTGGACGTCGGTTCTTTTCCAAGGGTGTAGCTCGAACCGGGTATTTTGTTTTATGTATTTTGTT